AGAGCGTGGAATGATGATCGTTCGCAAAATTAAACATTTATTTTTAATCGAATAAAATTTTTAATTAAAATTATTTACAATTAATTAAAACTACAATCGAATGTATTTTAAAACAGTAACAAGATATTTTTCTCTCTCTTTCTTTCTCTGTGTTTCTTTTGCTATTTCTCTTTTTTCCTCGAGTCTATTTTTCCGAGCAAAGAATATAAACAATCCGAGCAACATGATTTATTTTAAAACGACGATGTCTCTCGCACCTATTACCAAGATCTTTAAGAAGGAAGAAATACTGAGCCGCGTTGGCTCGTATGAATCTTTGAATGTTTGTAGCATTCGTGGCCGTTGACAGAAGTTTTCATATAAACTGAGGGGGTAGGAATGTAACAGCCAGATTATTCTTGGAATTCGAAGAAAAATTTAGAAAGGAATTTGAAATTGCGTGGGCGACGTAAGATTTCTCGAAGTAAAATATAGAAAACATATTTGATTATTTCGTATGCGAATAAAAAAAAAAAAAAAAAAAAAAAAAAAAAAAAAAAAGAAAGAAAGAAAATAAGAGACACGCGAAATCCAAAATTCGTTTCAAATGATCAAAGTATCGCAAAATTATGCTAATATTTGTTCGATTAAATAATCAAAATATCCGTTTTCCGGTTTATCGTCCCATATTAAACGTTTAACGTTATCTTCTTGTACTTTTATCTACTATTTATCGATCCAACCACAGGAAATATTATAAAATATAAACGCGACACGATACCGTCGTCTTTATCGCCATTATTATCTCGATAGATTATTATAGATTTGATATTAAAAATGTCGACTCACCGGTCATCGATTAAATGTGTTTTTTTTCTTTTTTTTTTTCTAACAATCTAAACAATCCTAGAAATGGGCAAATGTTCAATGTTTTTTCTTCTTCGATGATGATACCTTTCGGAACAATCGATCGGACTTAAGATATTTTCTTATATACGAATATCTTGAACTAATTACTTTTTAACCCTTCCCGTTTTCTCTCTCTCTCTATTTTCTTTTTATCCTTTATTTTGTTTACCCTTATATCGGCTGACACCAAAAGCCAGATTAAAAGATCGAGGGAAAGGACACGTTTCAGGTCATGGGTCCGCCGTATTTAAGCATCCTCACGATTAAATTAATTACATCTTCCTTACTTAACTTAATGGAATACGTGACCGTGGCCATGGTGTATATACCCTGACCTGTTTACATCTCATATTGGTGACCTTGGTAAGCGATTTTTAATGAGTACTTTTAACTCTTTCCTCTTGCTCCTTATCTTTTGTATTTTTTAATCTTGGAATAATATATAAATCAGATCGAGACACAGAAATGATGACTTTTGAATGGATATTTGAAATGCGTTTGAGGTACCAACGTGGAATGAATTTGTTTTATACCTGGGTGCAACCTTGCGCAGCATTGATTACAAAATTACACACACACACACACACCTCTGATCTGTGTTCTCGATCTTTTATTTTTTTTTTTTTTTTCTAATAATTAGATTAAGACCTTGTAAAAAGTTAGTCACGAGAAAGTATTTGCTTGATTATGAGAAAGGAGAAGGAAAAGAGTGCCTCCTGCCTCGAGCTTACGAATTTCCCATTGTTCGTTTCTTTTTAGACTGTTGTAGGTGTGTCGTAAAACTCTTCTCTCTTTTTTTTTGTTTGTTCTAAAACGAAAGATAAATATAGAAGGGGAGAGAGAGAAAGAGAAGCATGGGTATATTAAATTGAGGGAATTCTCATTGATGACTCTGCGAAGCTGTGTATTTTCGGATCTCGAGTTTTACCAAGTTGCGTTGGTATCGCACGAATTATTTTTCACGCAGACCCGTTGCCGTCATATCGTGTCCCTTTTCTTTTTTTCTTTTTTTCTTTTTTCTTCTTCTCCTTCGTTTTTTTTCTTTACCCTCCTCTAATCTTAACAACGAGATCATCCTTTGGGTCAAACGAGTTCGTAGTACAAAGTTCAGGATGTTGAATTTGGTTTACGAACTTCTCTATTAACGAACGTCTTTTACAACTTCTTCGATTTTCTCTTATTTTTCTACAAATATTGTTATTTTGTTTTGTTCAATTATTTAATTATAAATCTGTTAGAATGAAAATATGAGACATTTTTAACTTTAATCGAAATTATTAGTTTCAAGGGAAAGATTTTTCTCAAAATATCTCTACTTTGAAAATAATCGTACTTTTATTCGAAACACGTATTGTTAATTCTTTTTTTGTTTATTACTTTCGTATGGTCAACCTTAACAAATTCCACTTCTTTAGATTTTTATTAAAAGAAAATACATGCACGATTGTACCGTACGTGTTTTATCGAGTAAAAAAATTTCGAGTTAATCAATTTTTTTCCACATTCCACCTTCCACCATCGTGTAAATTGTTAAAAGAGAATAAAAGCAATGATAAAATTCTTTCGAAGGCCAGATTTCATATATAAAGGAATATCAATAATATCGTAGAATATATATATGATAAAAGTTGCTACGTAAAAGTAGAGTATGTCGCAATAATGGATGCTTCAGAAATATTCTCGTTGACATTCAAATACGTGTGGACGTTAAAAGACTTTTGTACAATATAAAATTTTTATTGAAATATATAATTGAGAAAAAATAAAAACGAAGAATGAAAATATGAAATAGAATACGTCGTAGGTATCACCTGTTGCTGCTGGAATGTTCTCTTTTTCTTTTTCTCTCTCTCTTTTTCTTCATACCTGACATAGTTTATTTTCTCTTTCCGAATATTCACATAGATAAAATTTTATTCAAATATACATATTAAATTATGATTTTACCATTATTTACTCTCTCTCTTTTTTCATTCTCTTTGATCGTGTGGAATTTCTAAAGTTTATTGACTTTAATTACTTTCATTATTTTTGTTTATAGATATAAACGTATGACATTATTAAATTCTTCATTCGCGATGAAAAACGATCGTACGATACATATATTTGCAGTTTTATTGATACCATTAAAATTTCATTGATTTATTTATTTAAATTATTTTTTATCGAACTTATCGCTCGCTTATTTTATTCATTGTAGAAAGATTTTGAAGTATTTTTATTCTTGAATAAAAATTTGTTAATACATACGTATCTCAATCCCTACATCGAGATTTCTATATGTCAAAACATTTACATGAACAACTCATATAAAAATTTAATAATGTAATGAAAAGATTAAATACAAAATTATATTATTTAGAAATATTTTTAACATAATTATTTAATGATTATGATAATAACATGTTTATTAATGTCCTGTTCTATTTTAGGACGATACGTGGGATCTCGGCCAATAAAATTACGAAAAAGTTCATGGAAGCAACGAAATTTGGAAACTGTACGAAAAAAGGAAAAGGAGAAGCAAGCTTTGATCGGTTTGTTGACCGGTCGGTGACGTGGCGAAATCATTATTATCCGATCGTAAGTCAGTCGTCGTGTTAATTGATCGCACAGGTGATTCTTTGACATAATGCAACAAAAAAACAATCGTCAACACAAATTACATAATCGAAAGTATATCTTGTATCGAGGTGAATACAATTGCGAGAATTTTTCTCTATTAAAAGAACGTATACTCAGAATATTGAGAATGAATTTATTGTACAATTATGTTTATAATATCTTATTATTGTTAGTGTCTGTGTAAAAAAGAAAAAAAAAAAAGAAAAAAGAAAGAAGAAGAAGAAAATAAAACAAACAAAAAATAATATACACTTAAATATAAGTAAAATTCGTATTTATCTTTTGATATCTTTTTGTATGATTTTCTTTTATAAAAATTAAGAAATATATAAGACTAATTTATTCGACTGGGAGTAATTAAAAAAAAGCCCGAACAAGAGAAAAATATCTGAGATTAAACAAGTAAGAGCCCGTAGGTTCTAATTAAATCTAAAAAGAAATATTTTTTAACCACGCGCAAAGTAGGACGTCGAAAAAGTTTTTTATTTCTCGATCACATTTTCTTTTTTTATTTTATTTTATTTTTATATATTTTATATCTATCTCTCTCTACTTTTAAAAGCAAAGAGAGCGCCTCTCGTGTTATTGCATTGACAATGATGACGCAAAGGCGTGACTACATTAATCTAGTATATTTTATTGAAAAAAAAAACAAATTAGAATCGCTTGTGTAGGTTTCTCGATAATTATATAATAGTTTCTTTTTGTGTTAATAAAAATGACAGAACTTCTGCTTACTCCCGGCGAATACGGAGAAGTCGAAGAAAATCCTCTCGGCGTAATTAATATTTTATTTTAATATACTTTAATGGAATTCACAAAGAGAAAAAATGAAAACAATATATATATACACGATTATCTTTGAATGTAAACTCGTTAATGGAAAACTGGTAGCACATTTATAATTTTAGTTGTACGAAGGGGACAGAAACGAGCAAGGTGATCGACATGGATTCGGTAAAACTTTGTTACCCAATGGAGACATGTACGTTGGCCAATATTGTGAAGGGCTAAGAAATGGCAAAGGTATCTATGTGTTCAAAAACGGTGCTCGATACGATGGAGAATGGAGACAGGGACTTAAATACGGCCAAGGGATTTTTTGGTACCCCGATGGAACGCGATACGAAGGTACGGAAGAATGTACGAAAATAGGATCCGATTCAGATTCAAAGAAGCCACTTGGACGTGGGTCGACACTCAACACGTGTATCCGCACAATTATTTTCGTTTCGTACCTTAGAAACTTCGAAGAAATATTTTTCCAAATCGTAAACGTACGTACACATACACACACGCGCGCGCATACCTACACCAACACGATGCGTGTATATATGTATGTTTATGTGTGTAACTTTATTATTTCTTGTACATAAATGGTACAAAAATATTTGATAAATTGAAAGAAAAAGAGAAAAGTGTAAATAGTTCGACTAGGTATAACATTTATTCGTCGTTGCTAAATATAATACGAGATTATATTACGAGCGACCATTGACACTTCCTCCTGAGAGATTCGAGAGATAATAAAATCAAGGTGCTTTTTATTTCTAACAACAAGTTAGAAGATATTCCAAGGAAAAAAAACAGAGTGTCGATATCTCGATTACGTAAATCTGTAATTATAGTGTCAGATATTTTTATAAGTATTACGTAGGATGATAGATCAACGTAGATGGAGAAGTAGAATAAAAGAAAAAAGAAGAAAATTAATAATAAAGACCTTTTTGAAAGAATGTCGTTAAAAACAGGCGAATGGAAGCGCGATACTAAGTATGGATTTGGTGTATACTTCTACGAGAATAACGACGTTTACGAAGGTTCCTGGAAAAAGAATCTTCGTCATGGTTTGGGAACGTATCTATACGCGGCAACCGGGATTAAATTTATGGGTACTTGGATAAAAGATCGCATGCAAGGACCCGGCCAATTCGTATACCCACGTCATCGATATCACGGATATTGGGAATTAAATTTGGTAATACACGCGAATCGAATTGACACGGAAATGCAATTTTTTTATTCTAATATTATACCTCCTACTAATTTAGCCATTAGGACGCGGTTGTTTTACCTTCGAGAACGCGTGCATGCAACACGGACATTACGTACATCTACGAGATCCTGATTACGAACAAACTGAGGAAGAAATTAAGGATTTTGATATGGTAAGTCACAAGAAAGAATTTTTTTTTAAATATTCCATAATCGGATTACAAATTACAAGCGATTGCCGCATATTAAAATATATATTAATATCTATTAATATATAATTATATTTTTTTTTTCATTGAATTTATAACGAAAATTTGTATAAAATATTGTGTAATTTATTTATTATTAATCAGAGATCAAATTTTCAAATAACGTGCGCTTAACGTTTGTTTCAAATTTTAGTTATAGATTTTCGCAAACATTAATTCGTAAAAAATGTGCATATTTGATCAGGCTACGGACGCAGATACAAGAACAGAAGAAGAAGTGATCGAAGATAAACCTGCGGAAGGAATATCTTTTGATGAACAACCGGTTCCATTAAAAAAGGGTATTCTACCTGTGTGGCGTGCACGTTGCATAACTCCATATAATCCTAATTTATTGCCACCGGAAGCTGTACCTTTGCAGGAAGAGGTATTTTATTCTAAAAGATCACAACTAATTTTTTTTTTCCTTTTTTTGTATGAGTCATTTATCTCATCCTATGTATATATTTGAATTTAAATATTAAAATGAATTAAAGACGTCTTATGCTGTGACGAGAAAAAGAACTTCTTCATTCGTGTTAACGTTAAAGGTGACAAACTTTTGACGATTATGATATCGTTAAACTTCTTTTTTTTTTTTTTATATATATAGAAATCTATCGACCATGCTATCACTTACACACAGAATGAATCATACATATAATAAGTACTCTAGATTAGCCAAGTCCCCGTTTAATTTAATCTAACACCGAGCACCTTCTTTTAGAGTAAAGTTACGAATTTTGTTGTTAATTTAATATCGAAAAGGTACGTGATAAAATTCAATTAATTTCCTCCTTACGTTTAGTTTAGTTTAGTTTCATTTCGTAGCGGATCCTTTTCGATGTCTGAAAATCGAGAAACCGGAAGTAAAGTAGTACGGGGCTAACAGTAAACGGTCGTCTGAACCTTATTCGATTGTTCTCATATTAACGAGAATTTCCGGCTTTCTATTTTCGTCCTTTTTGCCAGACAATTCAACTCGGATGTTCATTAATAAAATAACGATATCCGGGTCGAGTGTTGTTCCGTTCGATCATCATTTCGATTTGTTTTAAGTCGTCGTTAATTACGATATGTATTATATACATTCGTTGTGTATCCGGTATATTTCTAAGATTTCAAATTGTATGTTTCCTTCTTCCTTCCTTGCTTTAAATTTATTGACTCCTTCATATCTTCCAGGTATCGTTGCAGTCTTTAACAGATAAGTGTCTCGATGACGAGCCTTGGATGGAACCGGAAGAATATTTAAAGTATCATTTAGCAGATTACGCCGAAGATTACGAAAATGCAGAAAATTTTTCCCCAAGGCCACCATCTGACTTCATTACTCACCTAGAAGATATATAAAATATGCGTTTGCTCTTTAAAATTATAAAAATCCAACTTCTATGTGATATTGCCATCATACATTTTTTTCTTCTCTTCTTCTTCTTCTTCTTCTTCCTTCGTGCTAACTTATTTTTATTAATTGTTTCTCACTTGCCTATTTTATTTTTAATATTTTAGGCAAGTTCTCTCTTCAATACTGAGTATATAACATTTAAAAAAAAAAAAGATTGGGTACGACAACGGTAATTTTATTTTCTTTTTTTATTTGTTATATATATTAAACCTATCATATTCTATTAAATTTATTATATTAACCCTTTCGTTATTAGCGATCAATATGGAGTCGTACCATGTAATGATATGCAGTCGTAACGAAAAAGTTAATATTAACAAAATATAATAAATTATTAGATTGCAATAAATCTATTCAGAAATATTTACAAGTATATATTTAAGTGCATTTGATTTATTAAATATTTATCTCTATAGTATTTAATAAAAATTTCTGGAAATTATAAGATTTTAATGATTATAAACATAACGAAATAAAAAAAGACCAGATTTAACGAACTTTGAAATTGCAAACAATGCTGCATTACGAAAGTAAGAACGATTATCGTTTCACGTTGAAGAGATAATACAAACGGTTAATCTTAAGCCGTTTATTTAGAAAATTATAATAAGAAATGTGCGTAAGTGCATACAATAATGCACATGATATAATAGGGGAATCATTTTTTTACAGATACACACTACTTTTACATTAAATATGTGTTTTGCCAGGATAATTAATAGTGTAATGTTATTTAATTAGCGATAAATGCCATGCGAGTAATATACTCATTCGTAATAAACGTGTGTTAGAATCACATGTTATATATATATATATATATTATATATATATGTACAAATCTAATATTCAGCTTTTTCCAATATTAAGTTTTTAATGCCGACAAAATACTTGATTTTATATTGAAAAGCACAAGCTTGCTCAACGTTTATAGATGCAGTATAATGCAAGCGCGTGTTAGTCAATCGATATAGTAATGAAATTATTACAGACACACACACATTTGTAGAAAAGTTAATTTGATAACTTACTCAATAGGAAGACAAAATAGCTAAAAATGTATGAAAGTGGAAAAGATGTTACAACATTATGCCTATAATACATTATTCTTAAATTAATATTCCTCCACTATATACCTAAATATTTATACCAATTGGATGTACTGTACTTATTTTCAAAATAGTATGATTTTGAATAACTACAGCCTTTATAATGATTGTGTCGCATAACTCGAAATATCGAAAAGAAGGTATTTTAATATCACAATAAAATATTTTTGAAAATTTGAAATCTTCAAGTGAAGGATATAGAGATTATACAATAAAGATAGCGGTATAAGATTAGATCTTACCGCATTAACAATGAAGGCCCAATGGACGTCGCTAAAGGCTTAAAAGAATGAAAGAGAGGGCAAAATAATATAAAGTTAACGCGAAATATCGCAGTCTTTTTTACCATAAGTAATGAATCCTCTTTTCGCATCTAAGTGAAGATGATCTTTGATCATTTACAATTATCTTATGATCATTTAAGAACAGCTATCATTTGTTGTTAAAAAGAGATTATAATAGTGTTATCGATAAGGTATTTTTAATGTTAATTAAAAAAATGTATTCGAGACATAAGAGATCGAATTTTTAAAGTCAAAGCATATATGCGACTTAATGCCAGGCCGTAGATATCAATTTTACGTGCACAAATACGAATTGCATTCGACATTTTTTCTTGTATTCAATATATACTGCAGTAACAAAATAGTTTTCTCCTACGACCTTGCTTTCTCTTGGCACAAGATTAAGATTCGTGTTTATCACGAAATATCCACAGCCTAAAGTGATTAAAGCATCTTCTTTCTTTTTTTCTTTTTTCTTTTTCTTTTCTCACATAAACCATTCAGCCACTGGCAAATTAAGAGTAAATACTTCTTTTACATCATTATTGATTAAAATTTTGTCTAAGCCGATTACAAATTAGAAATTAGAAAGAGTGAGTATTATTTATAATTACTATAAATTAATGTGTCAATAAGAACGAAAAACTTGTTCATAACCAACCTTCAATTCATAAGTATAAGACGTATAAGTATATAGTAGTATTTCTAATACGCAAGTAATCTGTGCATAAATTGTCGTTTAAGTATCTCAGGTACATAAACGTGGACGAATTTTTTGTGCCCCAATATCGAGTGACTCCCGCCAATGAATGTCTTTTTGCATACATTCTCATTTTTTGCTCCCAAAATGCCGAAATATTTAACAATGGTTCTTTTTTCTCATTTCAAATGATTCAAATTGTCTTTTACATGAAATTAGGTAGCGGCCTTTGAAACGCAATACTAGCTACTGAAAAACTGCAATAACCTGCTATATAAATACCGAAACATATATAAATAGAGTTTATCAACCAAAAGGCAAATAAATATAAAGTTTTGTTGCAATATATCGCCTTGGATGAGTCATAATTTGGTTCGTATGCCTGGTACACCCATGTAGTACCTGATAAATAGCAAAAGAAACAGCGATAATATAAACTTGTCAAAATTGGCTTAAGATACTAGACAATTAAAGATTATAATAAACTTGTCTACCAATTATAAGCCAGGCCAGCATGAAGCAATTAATTACTGTTTGCGTTGTTGATTGCCTAATCCTTTCTTCATCTCTTTCTTCTCGTCGTCTCACATATGCAGATAAATGTAATAATTGTTTAAATACGCCGATTATTCCACCTACTAATAAATAAACAGGTATGTATTCACCCTGTGGACACTTGTATAAATACATTCCTCCAATAATAATCATGCATATTGGAATTACAATTGTCATAACAAATATAATAGTGAATCCGACTGAAACAAAGTGAAAAATATATATATATATTGTCTGTGATAAAGAAATTATTTTAAAATATTATTATTTAAAAGAAAAAAAAATTGATCACGTACTTGTACACACGAGTAGAATAATAATATTTTTTATGAAATCAAATACGCCCTTGGAGACTTTTTGCACCTCTCTTATTCGACCAAATAAAGAATCATACGAAGGAGGAGGAGGCGCTGAAAGAAAAGTATTTTTATCGTTAAAACATATTTCAATGAAAGATTATATAAATAATGAAATATTTTGTAGCGTAAACATTTAATTATAATTACCATAATTATTTATGGCTTCTTGATAAGAAGGTGGTGCACCACAATCGCTGGGTAATGTACAAGGATGTTCGAGAGGTAAATTAATGTTATATGATGGAGGTGGAGTACAGGAAGTAGTGGTTACATGAACAGATGTACCAGCACTTTCTGTAGCATCCATAGATATATTATGATTCACTGGATTCAACGGCATTTCTATCCTAATATTCGATACGTGATTTCAGCACATTACTTTGCATTAATAATACTTGACGATTCAATTGTACCGAAAACTAATAATAACAAATACTTGTATAACCTAGAAACAAAGACATTCCAAATATTGATATTTATAATTAACTTTATTCATTAAATCTTAACATGCATAATGTATGTATTATAATAAAAAAGAAGCCTAGAAACATACATGTAATATGAACAAAATTAAACGTCATTAAATTATTAATACAAATTAGATTGACAATGAATATTACAAAAATTACATTATAAAATCGTAAAAATGAATAATTTAATACTTCAAAAGAATAAGAATTTGTAGAAATTGAAGCAAGAAAAGTAATTTACGATTGAAAATAATGTGAATGTTTGTTTGACCTTTTTGGATCTACGTAGAATTGTTATTCCTGAAAAATTGAGTACAATGATGTAGGAGGATGAAAGTAATCCAAATTAAAATTTTAGTAAAACTATAAAAGGCACGAACAAGAGCACTCTATTAACAATACAGTTTAATACCAATTTATAAAAGAAATGAATTTGAAAGATAGCCCTTTAAATCGACACACCCCCGCTGTCAACCATAGCGAAACAATCACATCTCAAACTTTAACTATCTACATTGGTTTGATTTAATCTATTTTCTCTAATCGTTTCGATTAATAAATCTAAACGTTATATATAAATTCGTTATTTCTATATTTTCTTCTTAATATTAACCACCATGAAATGATTACTTTCCGATGATAACATTTATTTCTGATATCTTAAGTTTACGCCATGATGAACCATGTGCAGTGCACCAATCGAACTTGAAACATTACTTCGAGTTATCGATATTATCGATAGTATCGATAAAGGATATAGATACTTTAAGAATATCGATAACGATCCTATCTCGAAAGATTACGAATATAAAATATTGTATAATAATTGTACTCTTGAAATATATAAGAAAAAATTACTTTTTTACAAAATCCCCTAGATATATTTGATTTAAATTTTGATAATTAATCTAATTTATCTATATTTGATCTTTCACGAATACAACCACACATAGCGATCCTATTTTAAAAGATTATAAACTTCAAATCAAAATTTTGTCTTATTGTTAGTTCTACTTGCAAAATATTCCCTCAATTTACTGTGAGAAATCCTGCATAATTATAATTAATTTATTTAGGATACCAAGAGTATGAAAGGCAAATTAAATTATTTTTCAATGGATAAGACATTTAGATTGAACGTAATTATTAATTTTGTTAGAAAACAATTGATTTCCTATACAAATATTAAGGAAAAATTGAATACGACAGTCACTTAATCATATTGTAAGATGGTCAAATAATTTTGATCAGTAGTATACTCGATTTTCATTTTAATATTTAATCTAATTTTAATTCCTCATTTCTCACGTATATCAACCGAATATCTTTGTTTTTTTTATTATCGAAACAGGAAAGAGAGAATAAATATTACGCATTACTTTTAACATGATAAACGTAATTAATCGTAACACATATATTTTTTTCTCATCATTCGATAACAAGTAACGTCACAAACGTGCAATGTCACAAATAAATATTATTTCTTGACAATAAATGTATCGTTGAAATCTGGAAAATAAATTAATTACTTTATTGTTTTATTTTTATTGTTTCCTGTTCCCACGCTTTCAGTTATTTTAACGTATAATATCAGTATGTAATAATAATGAAGCTGTGAATACAAAAAGATCTTGTATAGATTAGGTATCGTTTAATCATTCTACTAGAACTATGCACGCATATCCACCAACGACTATATAAAAGGACTTTTGAAAGGAACATGAGAAGTTAGTTAGAACCAACGAAATTGTATTTTTTCTCGAAAAGTGAATAATAATCGAAATGTATTCTGCTATTGTAACATTTTTCGTTTCAGCATTGTGCGCCTTATTACTTCCATATCATGTTGTGAGTTCCTTTTCGCATAAATATAAATACTTTCAATAAATCTGTATAGTTCAATGAATTTATTATCATATCTACAGGCAGGAGATATTAAACTAAATGGTTGTGACATAGAAAACATTGCTTCGGGAAAATTATCGTTAGACGAAATTAATACAAGCGATAATGGAATAATGAATTCAAAATTGACCATAAATTCTGAACTGAACCCGAGTAATGTTGCGGTATTTATTTATATAAATATATTTTAATATAGCTTTTTAATAATTTGTAAAACAAAAAGTTTATATTCGGAATCTTTCGATTTTTTGGTACGAATGAATAATAAAAAATAAATTTAATATCACTGTAGGTGCACATAAAAATAAACGACGAAGATGGCAATTCAATGATGGAACAAAATGTGGATATATGTAGTTTGAGTACGGACGACATGTTCAAAGGTTATTTCTTATCGTTTGATAGTCCAGATTTTAATGAAGGGAATTGTCCAGTACCTGCTGTAAGTATTAAAAAATTAATCAAAATGATTGTCATAATAATTTTAATTCTTTACGTAATAATTTTATCGATTAAAATTTTCTAGGGTACTTATACCTCCGGTGAATATGAAGTGAGTATTAGTGATAGTGCACCTGAGGGACGTTACACGGGTATTTTCGAAATAATAGATGAAACAGATATAATATTCCGTATAAAATGTAGTGTTGAAATATAATAGTATAAAATATATAATTATCACTTGTAGAGAGAAAATAATACATAATAACATTTCTGCTATATCTGTATAGCATGCTTCAATTAATTATGTAATTATTTACTTATTATATTATATTTTGATGCAAGATTAAGTCTTAGTCCTTTTATTTATTTCATTTAACAAGATCCAACTTCTAACTCAAATTATACCTTAACCCTTTCGTTACTAACAATCCATATACTGATCGTATAAAGCATGCTATAATGAAAGGGTTAAATCAATGTGTTTCTAATTTCTATATTATTGTTATTAATTAGATTTTTAGTAAATCTGTTATCATTTATTCGTATTTAGTTTCTGTTTAACACATTTCCAACATTTCCTCAAATCGTTGACTTTTAGAAAAAGATAAGTAATACGATAATAAAAAGTGAAGATATAAGAGAAGAACTGTTAGTTTACTGACATTGTTTAGTGTCTTCGTTTGTTCAATGCTTTGTCTTTCTTTCTGGAAACTTGACAACTTTAATGGTGATTTATTCTGTCTTTTACCATAGACAAATTTTTCTATGTAAATGTGCAAAAATTTGTATTATTTATTCAATAATTATATTATTAAAAAGTCATCTATAATTTGTATAATTGATCGAAATTATTGTGCTAAATCTTACGATTATTGAATTCACTTTGTTTTCTTGTTACGATTGGTTTCTGAGTATTTTTCGATCGAAGAAAACGATCTTTATAATCATTGAGAACCGTTTTTGTTTTCTGTGATGCATACAATGATTACGTAACAATAATCATATATATATATGTGAATTTTTTTTACAATCATTCACTTACTAATTGAGGTCGAAGAAAATCTGTACCACCACGCAAACGTACAGATAATTTTGCACTGGATGAACCTGTAATATAATAGATTTATATGTTATCTAAAAATAATATTTAAAAATTGGAAATGATACAGTAGAATCTCACTATCGATCGAAGATTTAGATGATTCTTTTTTTCTAGTTATCTGATTTTTCTTTCCTTTTTCGAATAACTTTTTCTTTACCAAAGTATTGCATCCAAATTTGTTATTCTTCGATGCAATCTCCTAAAAATTCGTATGTTTACATATATATATATCGACATAGAATTTGCTAGAAAACAATTTATTTTTGTACCTTTGATTTATTTATTGAAGTAAGATAATTATCCGTGGAATCTTCGTATTCGGTAATTTCTTGAACGTCGGTCAATGGCACACGTGAAATTCCAATATTATATTTTTGTGTATTAATCGATTTATTTTTTCTCGTTGATATTTTTTCGTAATAATGATTGCCTAAAAAAAGTTAGACATTTTATGATATGTACTTCACCTCAATGAAAGTATTTCACTAAATGTATTACCATGAAACTAGAGGGTACAAAGAAAATGATTTTGAAATTGCGTTAAAGGAAATAAACCGTGTAACAAATGGAATTGTTTTTTTTGGACGGTGTTATTTAAAAACTGTAAAAAAAAGAATTGGGTGGTCTTATTTCCGACTTCGTCAAAAGGCGCTTTTCATTGATAACAATGCCGAGGAATTACTAGCAATGAATGATTTCCGGCTTTGACGGTAACATATATATAGAAGGTTATCGCAAAAGATTGGCAAGAGTCACACTTAAATATTTATATCTTTTAGTATTAAATTGTTTGCATTTCTAACAATATAAATCTTACGTTTCATTGGACTGATATTTGTATGCCGATCCTAATAATGAATAGATTCAGCGAACGTGACTTGATGATTATACTGATTATATTATGTAAATGTATACATACATAATAGGTTAATCAATTCAAAAAACTTAATTCTTTGTGCAAGTAATGATTGATCATTTTATCGATTATATATAGCGATTGTCATTTTATTGAATATTAAAGTTGCGTATACAACTTATCCACGATTTTTAAAATGTATTGTACGTCTAAGCATAATTATTAGTAGCAATGTGAGAGAATAATCGATTATTTAAATAATACGCGCTAATAATCAAAATAGAAACTATTCAAGTTTCATTATCTCATATATTTTATTTCATTTACAATTGCATTTTATATATATAATTTCTCCTTCCTACAAAGAAAAACAAAATAAGATAAAATTGTACAAGATAAAAGATAGACATGATCTTTTAACTCATTGTAGCGGCAAGAATCAGGAACTAGAATACTATTGGTTTGAACTCTGATCACCACTACTATTTTTATGTAACATTTATTTATTTATAAACTATTACAGAACAAAACGAAAACAAGAACAAAAACGGATAACAAAAATGCGTTGAGGATTAATACGTTGTGGAGCGAGTAAGTGCAACTTCTTGACTAACTAATTTATTTTCTAACAACGAA